ATAGCTTCTGTTCCTGGGGAAGTGTAATGTAAAGCTTGCTTGAAGCCAAAAAGAAAACAAAGAAGGCAATCACAAGAGTTTATTGTAATGAAGTACTGTTGCTATAAGGCATGGTGTGAATAAACATAAAATGAGAACATAATCACATGGAGCTGGTTCGTGCACCATTGGTGTGGGTTGCTTCAGTAAAAGAACTATTGTCTAGCTAAAGTTGCAGTGTCTCCTCTTGTCCTGGAAAACCAGAATCCACAAAAATTCTCCTGAAATCCTGCAAAGCCGGTATTAAAGTGAAACAATTAGTCTTCAGTGAACGAAAAAGTATGGTGTCAAAACAACTGTTATGTAGTAACACATAGATCCAACAACTTATAATATTAATATGTACGTTATTGGAGCATCTACAGAACAACATACAGAATCAGACTCCACTCCACTATGCTGTGCATGCTATGGGTCATTGACATCCTCAGTTTCTGTTTCCTGCTGACCTTCATAATACAGTTTGATTGTACTATTTCTGTTCAAAACTGTCTAATAAGAGGACAAACCGAAGCAACTCATTCACATATTATAAAGCCAGGTAAACCTTTGTACTACATAGTTTGTGGCAGATCTAAGGATTGAATTCACAACTATGCATTATGGTAATATGAATAGCAGTGCACATGAATGTATATTTACCACTTGGTCTCCAAAGGATTTACCCCCCTTCCTGACCAGGCCATTTTTGTGATACGTTGCTGTGTACTTTACCTGACAATTGCAATGCTGCACCCAAATTAAATTTATGTCCTTTTTTCACACAAATTGAGCTTTCTTTCAGTGGTATTTGATCGCCTCGGCATTTTTAATTTTTGTGCTATAAACAAAAAAAGACAAAGAATTTTGAATAGAAAACAATATACTTGATGTTTTGCTATAAATATGTCCTGTACAAAAATTTTAAAAATCTAATTTCGTCATAAATTTAGGCCAAAATGTACTCTGCTACATGTCTTTGCTAAAAAAAAATCCCAATACGTGTAAATTAATTGGTTTATATGAATAGCGTCTACAAATGGCAGTATACATACTGGAATTTTTTTCCCTATATTAGTAATGGTGGCAATCAATGACTTATAGCGGGGCCGCGGGAGTGCGGCGTGCATTCTGACACTGTGGTGGAACTGACTAACTGCCACTGACATCCCCAGTGACACTAATACAGTGATCGGAGCTAACAAAAAGCACTGACACTGTACTAATGACACTGGGCAGGAAGGGGTTCACATCTGGGGCGATCAAAGGGTTAACTGTGTGCTGTTTTACTATGTGGCCTGTGTGTGTTTTACTGTGTAAGCATGCTGCTTTGTGTTGCTCTGCTATGTAGAACAATACAAAGCAGCATGCTGGTGCTGACAAGGGAGAGATCTGTATTGTTTACGTACAGACCTCTCCCTTGTCAGTGTACCTTGGTGATCGCCAGGTGGCGGCGGGGAATCTCCGGCCGAGACCCGGTGATCGCCAGCTGTAGTCGCCAATTGTGGCGCAAATAGGGCAGCGCACGTGCACACACGCGCACGAACCCCCTACCCGAAAATACAAAATCAGGTGTATGTATATATATATATATATATATATATATATATATATATGATTTTGTACAGTCCTGCCACCCTATAGCAGTAGTTCTGCTATAGGGCGGTCGGGAATCGGTTATTGTGTTGTGGTGTTGTTCACTTCCAGTGGCACCCCCAAAGCACTAAGGGAATGCTCATGTGCTGCATCAACCCGCAATACACTACCGGGATTCAAGGCATTGCTGAAAATGGTGCATGTCTGTTTTTTCCCCCATTTCTGGTATATTGGCAGTTCATTTAAATGGATATGCTGCCTTAATGTAAAACATTTTAATGTGCAGTAATGCACTCTTGTTAACCCAATGCACTAGAACAGAGTGGTGTGAATGGGTCTTCAAGGAGATTGTACAATCAGGTTGTAAAACATATTGTTATCATTTGCCTTAGGCCTGCAAGGGGTTAATAGGCATATATTTTAATTTCTCATTGTCCAGAAACCTAAAACTCTTAGCAACTTTTAAAGCATTAATGATGGCAGTGGTTACAGTAATATATTTTAGGCTGGCAGTGATTGTACTCAGTTACCATCCCATACTTTGGCAGATGAGAACCAGTGGGCTAGACAAGCTTTTATGATTAGCTAGACAAAAACCTAAGGCAAGCCATTACTGTGGTGAAAGGAAGGAATATTGCCTCCCGCAGCGCTATTGTATTCTGATGGTGAGAAGGAAGGGGGGGGGGTACGGGAGCCTTCCCGACCAGTAGAATACAATGATTACTACTAGCGGTTATAGCTGCCAGCAGTAATCGCATGTGCAAAAATCTGACAGCCTGGTTGTACCAAAGTCGATTAATGGATTGACCTGGGTACAATCAGCCTGCCCATACATGGATTGAAGTTCAGCTGGTCCTTGCTGAACTGGACAAATTTCAATCCATGTTTGCCTGATTTATGACATTACACATTTGCAGGCACCAGAAGGTGTACATAAAGTGACAAGAGCTGATTTTTTTTACAAATCTAGTTACCTGGCCTATTTTGTTTTTCAATGACATGAGACTGGCTACATACAGTGATTTTTTTGTCCGGTCCTTTGCAGTATGTTACCATGCATCATATTAGGGTAGTCTGTTCATTATTCACAACGAACATGCAAATACACACATTCAAGCAGCACAAACTAAAATACAAATTTGAAAATAGATTACTGCAACTTAATAGTCTGTATAGGCTCCGGTTGCATGTGAGCCAGTTCGCACAGTTGTGTTAAGGAAATTTTGCAACAATGCATGCTGATCCATAAATCTCCGGATGGTACATGGTGGTGTGCTGCAGTGCCATTTATTGTGACTGTTACTCCAATACACTATAACAATAGTGGGGCCTTCACTGCAGTGAACCACAATACACCTGCTGTGCACTATGGTGCACTGTAGTATTAAAAATGGCTCAGACGCATTTATAGCATATTAAGGTACAGCGTCATTAATGCTCAATAATGGGGTACATTACCACACTTACATGCAATGCATAATCTAGTCAAAGATGCCTTCCTAAAGCAAAGCCGAAAATAAAAAAATATATTATTTATTGCTGCTTACCAGTTCTGGGATGTGGTGGCTGCATTAGTTTTCTTTCTCAAATTTTTTTCTTAATTGCACCTGGTGATGCTGTTAGCAACACACTTCCTTTCCTAGGGTGACAACCCTTATGTACACTTCTGTATCAGGACAACAGAAGTAAGATTGGATTACATAACCCCAACCCTCTCCTATTGTTTATAAAATATAACGAGGCATGGTTCTGTAGCCATCAAAGAACAATGCATTTGAGAAGTCAGCATAGACAAGGAGCACAGTGACTGACAGTCACCACTCTCTGCTCAGTGAAGACCAAGAACTGAGCAATCAGCGATCATGTGATCGCTTGGATCTCAGTCTTAGAGCCGGTGGGGGACAGCTGCAGCCACATAAGAGAGTAAAGATATTTTATTTTGTTATATCCTGCTGTTCACCTTTAACAAAAAGATATAAAAAATGCTTTCAATGGGATATTTAATTTACCAAAGGGGACCAATTAAGATACGCTCATTGCTAGGGTTTAAATTCACTTTAAAACAAATATAGCAAATTCCAAACCTTCCCTTTTGCAGACCTGTGTAGAAAAACATGTTTGTATTAGATTCTTGCTGAGCATTTCGTATCCTTATTACCAAATTTGGCACTTTTCTTTGTCCAAATCACTTTGTACAAAACATGAGTAAAAAAATAGTGTATCTGTTGGATTAACTTCAAAGACTCTATTTAAGTGGAGGAAACTATCCCCAAGTAAGTCAAGCAGATTTGTAACTCTAAGGTCCTCTTGTTTTTTAAAGTAAGGAGATTCCCCCCTGTATGAGCAGTACACATTATTCCTGGCCCCGCCATTCTGTGCTTGGATAGTTCAAGCCAAGCAGCAGATAAGAACTCCCGTTTGCCTTTGACTAAGGTATATTATTTTAGAGGCCAGTCAAGTGAAAAATTCTCCCAATATTAAGTAACTCGGCACTTGGACAGGTCATAAAATGGGACAAGGAGTTTTTAAAGCCCAGTCCACTTTGCAGCTAATGGGATTAGTTTGGAGGAAAAACTACCCATGCAGACTAAGATAAACATCTGAGCAATGTTGTAGCTATAACCCATTTAATTAGAGTAGATGAAGTGTCTTTTTCATCCAACAGTGCGCTGCTGTTTTATGTGAAATAGCCATTACCGTCTCTTGTGGCGATAACATTCCTTGCATTTCACTGTTTTCATTGACAGTAGTACAAAATGTGCAAAAAACCTTCCCTAATGTGCTAAGAAATGAAGTAACCTAGCTTAATAGTGTCCTTAAAGGAGGCAACTAAATAGATATGAATTATGTGTATGCTTATTGGTTTACCTGCCATACGACTTGTAATTTTGTACTGCCTAATGTAATTTTCATGTTTCCACACTGCATAACCAAATAGGTGACACACACAGGGCAATTCGTAAAGAGTTTCTATGACACTTTATAAAATTCCATTGTGCCTCTGTCAGATACATGACTGAAACAAATACGTGAATTTGGGGCAAGCACTGCATGTGAAGGCATATTAACCACTTGCCTACCGGGCACTTATACCCCCTTCTTTACCAGGCCAATTTTCAGCTTTCAGCGCTGTCGCACTTTGAATGACAATTGTGCGGTCATGAAAGATTATACCCATATGAAATTTTTATAATTTTTTTTGTCACAAATAGAGCTTTCTTTTGGTGGTATTTAATCGCTGCTGGGCGCTTTACTTTTTGCTCTATAAACAAAAAGTGTGCAAAAAATGTGAAAAAAAAAAAGTTTCTTTGTTTCTATTATAAAATTTTTCAAACAGGTAATTTTTCTCCTTCACTGATGTGCGTTAATGAGGCAGCACTGATGGGCACTGATAGGCGGCACTGATAGGCAGCACTAATAAGATGGCACGGATAGGCGGCACTGATAGGCAGCACTAATGAGGTGTCACGGATAGATGGCACTGATAGGCGGCACTGATGATGGGTACTGATAGACAGCACTGATAGGTGGCACTGACTGGCATCACTGCTGGGCACTGACTGGCGGATCTGCTAGGCATTGACTGACGCGACTGCTGGGCACTGACTGGCACAACCACTGGGCACTGACTGGTGGCAGCACTGTTGGCCTGCATTGAAGGGCACTGGTGGATGGCACTGGTGGGCACAGGTGAGTGGCACTGCTGGGCACAGGTAGGTGGCACTTTTGGGCACAGGTAGGTGGCACTGCTGGGTGGCACTGGTGGGCACTGCTGGGCACAGGTGGGTGCACTGCTGGGCACAGGTGGGCGGAGCTAGTGGGCGGCACTGCTAGGCACAGGTGGGCGGAACTGGTGCGTGGCACTGCTGGGCACCGATCATCAGGGCACTAATCATAAGTGCCCTGATGATCGGTGCCTATCCCTGCTCTGACAACTGCCGGTTCTCGGTAGTACTTTCCTCACGCTCTGACAGGAAAGTGCAGCCAAGAACCGGCAATTGCATTTCCCGGTAATCAGCGTGTCATTGGACACGACTGATCACGTGGTAAAAAGCCGCTGTGATTGGCCTTTTACCACATCATGTGATCAGCTGTGTCCGTAGGACACAGCAATCACGGATATCGCCGGATGCGCGCCCCCGGGAACTAACGCCCTCCCAGAACTAGCCGGCTGCAGTGTAGCCGTCATTCAGCTATCTGCGGTTGGCAAGTAGTTAAAGTGGGAGTTCAGTCAAAATCTAACTAAGGCTAAATCTACTCCCACCCCCATTCTAAGCCTATTCTATCTACCCTGTAAAGAAAAGATCTATATACTTACCTATTCTGAAGCCACTCCACTCCAACTGTGTGATCATCTGTCAGCGGCTCCATGCACCCTAGTGTTTTTTATGTGTCCATGCACACTACTTTAGGCTATTAGCATTTTGTGAGCTTCAGTGTCTAGGAGCAGAAAAAAACAATTTGTTTGGAGCTCCTAAATGCTACTGAGATGCTACCAAAAAACATTATTACCAGTGTTTTTATCCAGCGCTTTTTCCAACTCCTTTTGAGCTTAGAAAAAATGCTAGTGTGCATGAAGCCAAAGTGTAGAGGAGGTGCAGCTAACAACGGATACCCCATAGTAAGCCTGAGGGTGACGTCATCACTCAGGCACTTTCCAGCCGCTGGAGAGAGAGCGGACTGGAGCGGCTTCAGAGTAGATAAATATACAGATCTTTTCTTTACAGGGTTAAATAGAATATTCTTGGAATGGGTGTGGAATTAGCCTTAGTTAGATTTTGACTGAACTTCCCCTTCAAGACCGGAGTGTCCATACAGACACTCTATCCTCAGTGCAGCTCACTTCCACCACTGCACCTGTCACACAGACAACGCATCAGCAGAGGAATTTTGAAACTAGGTGAGCAGATCCTAATGAGGAGCCAGCATGGAGGACAATAATCCATAACCAATACCCAGTCTGCTATTGGCAATAAAATACACCCACTGCCTACTGATGGGACCTGATGGGGAACGAGCCCCTCAGACCCTGGTCGCTGGGAGGTTGTCGGCACTCTGCCTATCTCTGTAAGCCAAGTTAGAGTTGGGCCTAATTATGTCCAGTTCCATAATCTATAAACTGGAGGTAATCCCTCTTGAATTTGGTGCAATAATAGCACCGCCTTGTAAAAGTGACACTATTAAGAACTACCTGAATGTGCCACAAGTATCACTAAAGCTACCAAAATGGGCAACAGGGATTTTGATTCAGCGCAGGCCATTTTAAAGGGTAATACCTCTAGAAAAGTGCTTATTTTATCCTCCCGTCATTGCTTCAGCATTTCATCATTCATCAAATGAATCAGCATTTCATCTTCTTGATTCATCCATACTGCTTCCTGTCTCCTCCAACAACCCTCATTGGACACAAATTCAGATTAATTTTGGAGCAATGAGCAGTGAGTTGACTCAAGAAGTAGTAGTGCTAACCAAGTGTAGGGATGTACAATTTTTATTACATTCCTTGTATGTTTTTTCTGTCCTCTGAAAATCAAGCTGTAGCTGTTTGCAGGTGTTCAAGAGTTGATACTAACACCCCTTGCTTGTGTAGCACCCTCCCAGTTACACTAAGTGGAGCCTGATCCCTGATGGCTAGAGAGAAGCTGATTAACAGCTCAGGTGTAATAGTCAGAGGGGTCATATTTTGGTCAGGATTGAGAGATTCTGCAGGTCAACCCCTCTGGAATTGTCCCCTACTCTGAGGCTTCAGGAGGTGAGCCTTGGAGGTGGTTGGATTCCTCAAAAGGTGTTGAAGTCTGCTCAGTGGAGGGAGAGGAGGGAGTCGGGTGGAAGATTGGAGTGAGGAAGATGTGAGGCTGGTGGAGGAGAGCTTCCAGGAGGCCTGCTGAGATGGGGCCTGCCTGTGAGCCTGGAGTCAGAGAGGAGGAAAGCTCAGGACTCGCTGGTCCCTTGGGAGAGAACCCCATGTGAAAAGGACGGAGCCTCCCAGCTGATAGGCTACACCTACACCCTTCAGGTGGATAGGGGAAGGAGCACTCTGGTGGGAAACCAGATTAGCCCCCTTTTCTAATGACTGTACACTTTGCTTAAAGGAACAGGAGCCAGTTCCCCTGCTCAGGAAAGGAAACTTACAGACCTCTGGTTGGAAGAAGAGTTCATCTGGGGTCTGTAGTACTACAACAGGAGTTTCTGGCTTGCACTCCAACAAGAGACTGTGTTGCAGTGGAGAAGTTATGAATAGTTCGGGAAGTTTGTCCTCTGTGTTCAGTTCCCTTGGGTATCCTATACACCATCCAAGTTCAATCCCCTCAATAAAAAAACAAAACCAACGCTCAAGGCCTAATTTTCTGTCTGTGGATGAAAGCTGTGTGAAGAATACTCATTGACTGGCTGTGCAGGACTATAGGGGGACCTAAATTCAACAGCAACCCCCAAGGGGGTAATGCTACACCTGTTTCTTTTCAATCTCAAGAGGGACTTTGCATTGCACTACCAAACCACGACTGTGTGCCAAGAGGTTTACACATGGTTATGGCATGGTCCATTTGACAGTGGACATGTTTGGCAAGTCTGAGTTAAGACAGAGGCCACAGGAGAGTTCTTTATGATGTAGTAGCAAATAATTGGATGAAATATATGATGAAAAGGTAAATTGCAATAAGGTACTAACATCTGTGAGGTTGCTGAGCTACCTGATTGGGGACAGCTTGGAGTGAAAGCCTGCAGGGAGTAAGGTTGCTCTCAATGCTTGGTGGGGTGATCCAGACGATCCTACGCTCTTTGGTCACACTTGTGTCACTAGCCCTGACCCCGCTGAAGTTGGAACAGAGGAAGTCTAGGGACCAGGGGGACAAGAGCGCCAGTGGTTGTTGCTTGCGGCTCTTGCAGGTGATGACCTTGGTAGGCAGAGTATCCTCTGATTTGGGCACCGTAGAAATAGACGAGGTAGGTTCTGTGGATCATCAGATGTGCAGCAGAGCAAGGTAGGTAGCCAGGACACAGGACTGGAGCAGAGTCAAGGATAGCCGGGGTCATAAACAGTCGGGCAGCACGGTACAGAATCAGAAGGAGAAGCCAAAGTCAGGAGCAGAGCCGAAATCAGGAACCAGGAGCAGGAGAGTAATCGGAGTCGGGTCAGGAACAAGCCAGGTCAGCAACAAAGGAATCGTACGGAACTAGCAGGACATGGGGGGAGCTGAAGACCAGTCAGCACTGAACCTGAGCAGAGGCACTCTTTAAACGGGCTGTCTGGCGCCAATCTTCGCCGTGCATGTGCGCGATTGCACATTCCTGCACGCATGCGCGCGACCGGCAATTCTGCATGCGTGTTCCCGATCGCGATTCTCCTTGCTGGAAATCCCTTACACATTGTGGTCCTGGCAATGTACAAGGACCTGAGTGTAACAGCGTATACCCAGAGATGGATGCGGTTCAACCATTTTGGCTTCAACCTCCATCTTGGCAAAGGGATTAACCATCCTGACAAATATATTTCTCCCTCATTCTTCCCCCCTCCCTCCTTAGAGAGGCCCAGCAACATTTGGCCAGTATGTGTGTGAGTTGGGAATGTCACAGGAGGGTCATAGGAGCTATAAAGCCCCCCAATTGAGTCAGGGCCTCCCTGTCCAAAGAAACTGCAAATTGTAACACCTCGTAAGAGATAAGGCAAGCTTTCCCAGGAGTTGAAAGAGATTCCAACCTAATAAACCTAACTCAGCATAGGTGACAGAATCAGATAAACACTTTTCAAAATCAATTTCTCCCCTATGTCTCATATCTTATAATATGAGAGACTTATATAAAAACAGGACCTATCGTCAGATTGGCCGCGAGAAGACGAACAGTTTGATAGGTCACTCGCATTGTCTCGGATACATAGAAAAACAGAAAAGTAGATCTCGTGAACCGTACAGTGTATTATTTCATAATTCATATCTAATCAATCCTCAGATGTGTCTGCATAATAATCTACCCGCGGGTGGAATGTCACTTATGCAGCTGGAAAGTTATGGGCCAAAATATGAGTTACGGGAGATTTTGGCTCTAGTTAAGATATCCACCCATACCTCCACGCCCTAAGCGGGGTATTGGTCCTTGACTTCAGAGACACCCCCTGCAGGGGACCACAAAATAGGCTGTCAGGCCTAAGAGTCGGAGTTGAAGTCTTCTCCCATTTTAACATCAATACCACCTGGGGAGACCCGTGCCCTTTCGCTCTGAAACTTGGATCTGCTAACCCAGGACTTTGGCAAGTACCTTAACCCTTTCACCTCTCTCTGATATCTCTTTGCTGGGCTGTTAGTCTCTGTATGTTTATATATATATCTTAGTTACATCTTTTTCTGTAAATATTGTTATTGTACCTGTTTGACCTTTTAGTAATAAATCTTTCCTTCTGAAAGTTTCTGTTTCTATAGCGCTTTATTGCAATTTACGAATTCCTGCCTCTAAAGAGAATGCTACTGTGTTTGTTTAACCCTCCTGTTATACAGACGATTACCTCAACCCTTATAGTGTTATTGCGGATATCGCCGAGTTTCCTATTTCTCTGTACAAAAAGGAGGTGGTGGCAGTGTGAAGGGTTAATTGCGTAATTAACCTGACCAAGTAACAATCACTCAGGCTGCCGGTACATCGATTGTGGTCCAATTAGCTGGAAAATCATTGTGCAGGGTGCAGCTGGGTGTGGCATTACGCATGTGACATCGCAGTTTTAGATCGGCTAGTCCTTCGGTCACGAGTTTGGTGAGAAGGTCTGGGGTCTGATGCCCCGATCGTGACACTGAGTAGCCACCAAAATATTTGTAGATGCTGCCTTTGTGAAATCAGT